AATATTCCCATGGCTTTGATCCTTACTTCATAAGTATATCTCCTGTGAGTTCAGCTCTGGACAGAATATCTTAGGCAAGTTAACTGGATTATCAGACCTTCAAATTCACTTCATATGAATGAACCAGCTTGATAAAATAGCAAACACTTTCTGTTAAAGTTGACAATTTAGGGCTGGGGTTGTGGTTCAGTGGTACAGTGTTTGCCTAGCACATGTGAGGCACTGGGTTTGACCCTCAGCACTGTATAAAATTAAATTTAAAAAAAAATAAATAAAGGCATTGTGTCCCTCTACAACTAAGAAAAAATTTTTTTTAATTGACAATTTAGGGTTGGTGCTGCAGCTCAGTGGTAGAGTGCCTGCCTCACACGTGTGAGGCACTGGGTTCAATCCTCAGCACAACATAAAAAAATAAAATAAAAAATAAAGATATTATAGGGCTAGGGCTGGGGCTTAGTGGTAGAGTGTCTAGCATGTGCGAGGCACTGGATTTGATCCTCAGCACCACTTAAAAATAAAATAAGGATATTGTGTCCAATTACATAAAAAATATATATATATAGATTCTGGATATGCTCACCAAAATTAAAACTACTTATAACAAATTCTTAACTATTTCTTCTTCCTGATATTCCTATTTATCTATCAATTTGCACATACATTCATATATGAGGCATTTAATCTTTTTAAGTTTGTTAAAATCTATGTTAAGAAGCAAAATATTAACACTTTATAAAGCTAAAATAATTTCAGTTACATTAATATAACTAAAGTTTTTCCCTTATAATTTTTTAAAAAATCACATTCTAAATATCTGTACATTATTCAAAATATAAAAAGCATATGGAAAAGAAAATAAAACTTGTAATTCTACCATCCAGTGACAGTTTAGATTTAATTTCTAGGTTTTGACTTAATTTCTTCTGGTCTAAATTAATCTCATATATATATATATTTGCTTAAAAATATGATATGTAACAGATAAAATGGACATATAATCCAAACTAATATATTGTCATGGATAATTTTTCCCACTGACAAATATATTTATCACACATTTTATTATTGTAAAATAAATGTATTGGTGATTTAAATAATCTTGAATTTAATTTTTTAATTAACAAGGCCAAAGAATATGCATTTTCTGTGTGTGGTACTATGGATTAAATTTAGTGCCTCATGCATGCTAATCAAGTGTTCTACCACTGAGCTACATATAACCCCAATATGCATTTTCTTTCTTTTTTTTTTTAATTGGTATTGGGAATTGAACCTACTTTATCACTGAGCTACATCCCCATTCCTTTTTTTTTTTGGTACTGGGGATTGAACCCAGGGCCTTATGCATACAAGGCAAGCACTCTACCAACTGGGCTATATCCCTGCCCCCCCCCATTCCTTTTTATTTCTTATTTTGAGACCGGGTCTTGCTAAATTGTTGAGGGTCTCATTAAGTTGCTGAAGCTGGCTTTGAATTGCAATACTCCTGCCTTAGCTTCCTGAGTCACTGGGATTATCGGTGTGCTGCACATGGCTCCAAGTATGCATTCTTCTTTTGTTTTTGTTTTTTGTACCAAGTATTGAACCCAAGAGTACTTAACCATTGAGCCATGTTTTCAGCCTTTTTAAATTTTTATTTTGAGACAGGTCTCACTAGGTTGCTTTTAGCCTTGCTAAATTGCTGAGGCTGGCTTCAAATCTTCAATCCTCCTCCCTTGGCCTCCTCAATGACTGACTGGGATTATAGGTATGTGCCACCACACCTGGCTTTCTTAAAGGCTCATTATACATCCTGCAGAATTAGTCCCTGAAAATTTAAACCAGTTTAAATTCTCTTCAGCAAAGTATAAAAATGTTTGGTAATAATTTCAGCTGAACATAGTCACATTTTTCAAAAGTCATTTTACAAGTAAAAAATTACATTAGTCTTTTGGCTGTATTCTTTTACCCATTAATGTGGCTGATTTTTTTTCATAATTTGTTTGTTTGGCACTGAGAATTGAACCCAGAAGCGCTTAAGCATTGAGCCACATCCCCAGTCCTTTTTATTTTAAAATTTGAGACAGGGTCTCACTAAGCTGCTCGGGGCCTCACTAAGTCACTGAAACTGGTCTCAAACTGGCAATCCTGTGTTAGCCTCTCTAGTCATTGGGATTACAGGCGTGCACCACCACTTTTAACTAATGTGCCTTGTTTCCTTTGTTCTTTCTTCTATTGGTTATTAATTCTCTTATAAGACCTCTTTATTTGTTAATAAAGAGTGACATAGATATTATTATTAGTTTTTCAGATACTTTTCTTTTTTTTAAACTTAAATGGGGGTGGGAATTATATAAACTATATAATTCTGTTATTTAGTGGGATTACAGATTTTTTTTTGAGAGAGAGAGAGAGAGAATTTTTTAATATTTATTTTCTAGTTTTCGGCGGACACAACATCTTTGTATGTGGTACTGAGGATTGAACCTGGGCCGCACGCATGCCAGGCAAGTGCCCTACCGCTTGAGCCACATCCCCAGCTCTTTCAGATACCTTTCAATGTAAGATGCTTTGATGTCTACATAGGCCAATATATCAGTCTATGTATACGTATCTGCAGTATCTCTCACTGACTTATAGTTAGTCTTTTGCCATTCTGCCACAAAAAGGTCATCTGTATTTTCTTTGTTTTCTTATTTTAAACATTTTATATTACCATTTAAATTTATCTCATGTCTATTTTAAATCAAGATATAAGATGAAGGGCTAATGAGAATTTATTTCTCAAACAGTTAATTAGTACACCCATTTGAAGAATAATGAAATGAATGATCTTTATTGTTTATTTTACTCTTATGAGGATACATGTGTCTTCTATAGAAATCTCTTCTGTTCTACTGTCCCATCCACTGATACCTGGGCTACTAAACATTTTTAAATGATGTGGAAGTTTTTTATTAGGCAACATGACAAATCTTTCCTTATTATTCTTTTTTTAGTTCTTCTACATTTTCTTTATAGCCAAAAAAGAAAAACTTGAGAGAAAAAGCCAAACACAGAAGAAAATGGACAAAAAATGACTAAGGATTTCCCTCTAAATGAAACACAAACATGAAAAATACTTATATTCATTAGGAAAATGAGAAGTAATAATTAAAACAACATGATAGGACATATTAGCCATCATGTAACAAAATTTGGAAACCAAATAATACCACGTATTGGTCAGGATATGGGGAAACAAAGATCATCTTATGCTGCTGATGTGAGTGTAAATTCATTTGGCTACTTTGGAGAACAATTTGGCGATGTCTGATAAAATGGAAGTTAATATATGCCATCAATTCCACTTATAGATATATACCCTAGAAAATTTCTCACAGCACACATGCAAAAGAAATCCATGATGTTTGCTAAAGCAACTTTTTTAATTATAAGAAACTAGAAACAGCAAAAATATCCATTGACAGGAATGAATAATTGAACAAATAAATGTGATGTAAAGCTACATAGGAGTTAAGAATGAACAAAGGTTTTATTTATCTACATTAATAGAACCAAAAATTAATTACAGAGGAAAAAAAGTAGAATGGGATATTATAACATTACTTATGTAAATTAAATAGTACAAAAATATATATTATTCATGGTTACTTATCTCACTTTCTATATAATGCATATATAAACTAAGTATATTTGTTAAAATAATTGATACATATTAACATAGAAAATATAATTTATAATAGGGAAATTTCTAGAATAAAATATGTCAATACCAAGATTATGGTTCCATTTGGGGTACACTGAAATAGTGACAGATACTTGAACTTCTTTCCAATTTTATATCAATTATACTAACACATGTCAATTCTGGGTATATATTATATCTTTTTTTAAACTTTCCAGTATGTATGAAAGTTCTAAGACAAAGATATTTAAAGTCAATAATTCAGACAGAGTTACTGAAACTTCAAATCCAAAAAAAAATGTGACTAATGAACCTCTGTGAGTTAATTCAATGTTATACAGCAATTTTCTGATAAGATTACTTAAATAATTAATTAATTAGGGAAGAGATAGATATCTGAACAGATCAAAATTTTTAAAAAACTCTGACAGGTTACCTGGTTGTGAATATTCCAGGATACATGCAAGAGTGCTACGAATTAGAGCTGTCCACTGTTTTTGAGTTTCCTCAGTTTTGACCATTGAAAGTGTCACAATACTTTTAATCCCTTGAAGAGCTGCACTGACTGGTAGAGGAACCTGATTGTCTGCAGACTTTATTGCTGTGTCTTTTAATATTCTTGCAATTAAGAACAGAATTGTGGGCAGGATTGTCATACATCCTAAAATAAAAACAAATCAGATTACCTCATAATTACTCAATGCCACTGTAGACGTTTTCATTCTTTATTTTTTTTACAATTAATTATGTTTGTCTTCCCCCCCCCCTTCCTTTAGAGAGGGTCTCACTGTGTTTCTCTGGCTGGCCCCACATCCCTAGGCTAAAGTGATCCTTCTGCCTCAGCCTTTGGAGTAGCTAGGACTAGAGTGCATGACACCATGCCTGGCTGACTATGGTTTCATATTATTTATTTTCTTTGTTTTTATATAAAATTTGCTACATTACTTTTACTATAATTCAATGTTTGAAAAAGAACATAAGAAATTGCCATGTTATTTTAGAGAAGAGAGAACTGATATTTTCTTTTTCCAACCCAGCCATTTTATTACTACTAATATTTCACCTATTTAGTAGCCCATGCCCTTCATAATGAAAATGAGAAAGGAAGATAGAAAAACAGAAGGAGAATATACCATATACTTTGAGAAGTATCTAAGTTACCTGGTGAATCTTATTAGTAATTCTAAAATATATAATTAACCTTCAGTGTACGAAAGCCAGCCTAATCAAGCCAGGAAAATGAGAAGACTACTGAGGTAAGCAAAGAAGAAATTATAGGATCCTAGAATTTGTGGATAAAAATTCA